TGTAATCAATTACTAGTTCCAGGAGTTTTTTTGGTCTATTCTTTCAGATTTTCTTAATAGACGATCATGTCATCTGACAACAAACACAGTTTTATTTCTCCCTTTCCAATCTGTATCCCTTTTATTTCCTTTTGTTGTCTTACTGCATTAGCCAGGACTGCCAGTACGATGTTGAAAAGGACTGGTAAGAGGGGAAATCCTTGTTTTGTTCCTGATATTAGTGGGAAAGCTTCTAATTTCTCACCATTAGGTATGATGTGAGCTGCACAGAGTTTTTTGGTAGATATTATCAAGTTGAAGTTCCCTTCTACTTTACTGAGTTTTTATCATGAATGGGTATTAGATTATGTCAGATGCTTTATCTGAATCTACTATGACTATGTGATTTTTCTTCTTTAGCCTGTTGATATGATGGATTACATTAGTTGATTTTGAAAGGTGAACCAGCCTTACATATCTGGGATAAATCCTACCTGGTCATGGTGTGTAATGCTTTTTTTTTTTTTTAAATTCCATTTTTTGCCTCCACAGAACATTGAAGAAAATAATTCTTTTTTATACATTGTTGGATTCAATTTGCTAATATTTTGTTGAGTATTTCTGCATCTATTTTCATGAGAGATATTGGTCTGTTGTTTTCTTGTAATGTCTTTATCAGATTTTAATATTAGGAAAATGTTGGCCTCATAGAATGAGTTAGGAAGTATTCCCTCTGCTCCCGTCTTCTGAAACTTTTCTGAGTATTGGTATAATTTCTTCCTTAAATGTTTGGTAGAATTCACTAGTGAGCCCACTAGTGATTTCTGTTTGGGCAGGTCATTAACTATTAATTCAATTTCGTTGATAAATATAGACCTATTCAGATAGTCTGTTCAAATTCTTATGGGAATTTTGGCCGATTATAGCTTTCAAAGTATTGTCTATTTTATCTAGAGTAACAAATTTGTGGGCATAGAGTTGTTGATATTATTCCTTGATTATCCTTTTAATGTTCAATCTGTAATGATGTCCCCTATTTTGTTTCTAATATTAGTGATTTGTGTCCTCTCTTTCTCTTAGTTAGCTTGGCTAGATAAGGTTATTGAACCAGCTTTTGATTTCGTTGATTTTCTCCACTGAGTTCCTATTTTCAATCTCATTGATTTCTGCTCTAATTTTTATTATTTATTTTTTCTGCATACTTGGATTTAATTTGCTTCCTTTTCTAGTTGGCAGAAGGTTAATTTGGCCATTCCACCAGAACAAACAAATAAGTCTGTTAGAATAAATGAATTCAGTAAAGTTGCCAGGTTCAAAATCAACACACACATCGTGTAGCCAAGTGGAGTGGCTCATGCCTATAATCCCAGCACTTTGGGAAGTCGAGACAGGACTGCTTGAGGCCAGGAGTTTGAGACCAGCCTAGGCAACACAGTGAGACCCCATCTCTACAAAAAATTTAAAAATTAGCCAGGTGTGGTGGCATGTGCCTGTAGTCCTAACTACTCGGGAGGCTGAGCCAAGAGGATTGCTTAAGCCTATAAGTTGGAGATTGCACTGAGCTGTTTGCTCACTGTGATTGCGCCACTGCACTCCAGCCTGGAAGACAGAGCGGGACTATCTCAAAAACAAAACAAACAAAAAGAATAAGTTGTGTTTCTATGTACTAACGATAAATAATCCAAAAAGGAAATTAAGAAAACAATTCCATTTACGATAACAAAAAGAATATTTAGGATAAATTTATCTAAGGAGGTGAAAGATTTGTACACTGAAAATTACAAAACATTGCTGAAAGAAATTAAAGATACAAATTGATGGTAAGACATCCCACGCCCATGGATTGGAAAACTTAATATTGTTAAAATGACCACACTATCCAAAACAATCTACAGATTCAATGGTTATCTCTATCTCTGATATTCCAATGGCATTTTCTACAGAAATAGAAAAAAAAAATCCTAAAATTCATATGGAATATCAAAGGACCCCAAATAGCCAAAAAAATCTTGAAAAAGAAAAATAAAGCATGAGGCCTCATACTTTCTGATTTCCAAGCATGTAACTAAAACTACAGTAATCTAAACAGGATGGTACCAGCATAAAGATAGACACATAGACCAACAAAACAGAGAACCAAGAAATGAACCTTCAGGTATGCGGAGGGCATATGGTCTTCAACAAGGGTGCCAAGGCTACACAATGGGGAAGGACAGTCTCTTCAACAAATGGTGATGGGAAAACTGGATATCCACATGCAAAAGAACAAAGTTGGACCTTTACCTCATACAAAAATTAACTCGAAATGGATTAAAGACCTAAGCATAAGACCCAAAAGTATAAAACTCAAAGAAAACGTAGAGAAAAAGCTTCATGATGGATTTGGCAATAATTTCTTATATATGACACCAAAAGCGCAGGCAACAAAAGAACAAACATGGGATCACATCAAACTTGAACATTTCTGCACAAAAGGAAACAACAGAATGAAAAGGCAGCCCATGGAACAGAAGAAAATATTTACAAACCATATATCTATTACAGAAAGAGGATAATATCCAGACTACAAAGAATTCCTACAACTCAACCACAAAAATCCAAACAATCCGATTAAAAATGGGCAAAGGACTTGAACTGACATTTCTACAAAGAAGATACACAAATGGCCATGAAAAGAAGCTCAAAATTACAAATCATAAGGGAAATGCAAACCAAAACCACAATACCATGCTACACCCATTAGGATGGCTACTATTAAAAAAAACAAGCAGAAAACAAGTGTTGGCAAGGATATAAAGAAAACGGACCCTTGTGTATTGCTGGTGGAAGTGTAAAATGGTGTAGTCACTGTGGAAAATAGTTTGACAGTACCTTAAAAAAACAAATTAAACACAGAATTACCATATCATTCAGCAATTCTATCTCAGGGTGTATACACAGAAGAACTGAAAGCAGGGACTTGAACACTTTTATACCAATGTTCATAGCAGCATTATTCACATTAGCCAATAGGTGGTAACAACCCAAGTGCCACTGATGGATGAATGGACTACAGTCAACAATAAGTTATGGCGTTCTTTAAAATAACTGATAAGAGAGAGATTGAAATGTTCCTAACACAAAGAAATGATAAATGCCTGAGGTAATGGATACCTTGATTACCCTGATTTGATTGTTACACATTGTATGCCTGTATCAAAACATATGTACCCATACAACTATTATGTACTCATAATAATTTAAAAAAATAAGTAAAAATAGAAAGATTTATAAGAAACATTAAGGTTTAAGGTCACACAGGGTTGGAAGTAAAAGAAATTAAAAATAATGTAAAATCTGGCAAATGCTCACAGACGAAAGCTAATGACAGCAATTAGCATCAGGTAAAGTAGATCTTACCATTCCTAAAAGCATGTTTAGGAATGGAGAGGGTCACGACATAATGATAAAATGTTCAATCTATAACACAGAAATTTTAAACACGATGTTCCCAATAGTCTCTAAATATATACAGCAAAAATTGGTAGAAGTATCAGGAAAAATTGAATAATCACAGATTCCACATAGATTCAATAATTAGAGATTCCACATAGATTCAATAATTAGACATTATAAATAGATCCAACAATTAGAGATTCCACATAGATCATATGCTAGGCCATGAAGAAAGCCTCAAAATTAAAAAAAAAGAAAAGGTATTACCAGACTATGATCTTATACCACAACATACTGAAGACAGAAGGTTAATACAAAAATTTAAATTAAAAAGTCACATATTTGGACATAGAAAAACATACTCTAATGATTCAAAGGATTAAAGAAAAAGTTATAATGAAAATGTAAAATCAAAAACTATTTCATCATGTTAATGTAATAATATCAAAAACTGTGGGATGCGTAAAAATTTCTGACAAGGGAAATTTATTAGGTACATATATCACAATATCAAAAGACTTACTTATACTCTAGGAGGGTTTTCTCAAATGTAGGCAAAACAATATCCAACTCCATGATATCACTGGTTTTCTTTCCTTCTAGATGCCAAATATTTACAAGGTTGGAAGTATCTAGAATATTAAGATAAGTCAATTTAATATACTGATTATTCATAATTTTGCTGTAGGTCCAGGGTTCTGAAAGCCTGAAACGAAAATAGTCCCACCAAATTGTAAAAGATAGCTGTAGCGGAAGAATCACGTAGGACTCACTACTTACTTCTTCCTATCCCAGTGCACAGTCTCACAAACCCCTGTCTATACTCTGACTGCTATCTTGTTGGTTCTCCCACTTCTGCTGAAGCAACCAAAAGCACTGCTGCCTTTTAATTACCTTGATGTGCCTTTATTGAATAGTCTGCTGTTATCAACACTATTGGAGATAAAGCTCCTCTTTATAAGCTACATTTGCTGAATTTTAATCTATAAGGCCATTTGTAGAATACATCAAGATCACTCAGTGTATTAATTTAAATAATTATAGTAATATACGGTAATATACTGGACAGGAATCTGAAGACCTAGGTTCTAGTTTGAACTTCTTACTATTCATGAGATCTTAGATTTAACCTTCTAGAGGCCCAATTTCCTCAATTAAATGGAAGGAATAAAACATGTTCTGCCTTTTATTTACAAAACTATAAATTACTATACATTTGTATGGTGTTATAATCAGTAAATTTCTAAAGCATGCTCAAATTTTCTATATAATGTTAACATGATTCATTGATAGGATCGTCCACTCTTCTTCCATAGTTAGTTTCTTGTTTAATACTGCAAAACTGACGAACATGCTGAGAGTTCATCTTGGATTCACACTGACGTGTGCACAACTCTTGGCTGTGGTGGATTAATAACAGCTGCAAATTCTTTGCCACCCCTTCCTATTTTCCTTCCCCTTGAACCTGGGACAGCCCCAGGACTGGCTTGAATAAAAGAACATATGGAGTGATACTGTGCAACTTCCAAGGCCAGACCTTAAGAGATCTGCAGCTTCTGCCACTTTTCACCTCCTGAAATGCTCCCTCCTGGAAGTCAACTGTCATGTGAAATTTTGACTATCAAACAACAGGGAAGCCCAAGCTAGCCACATGAAAAGAGGTCACATGAGAGGGCTCAAGGCATCAGACATACTAACAGAGACTCTTACCTTTCACCCCAGTTTAGGCACCAAATGAGCAGATTGCCCAAAGCAAAATCGTGAGCAAATAAAATGGTGGTGGTTGTGCACCAGGGGTTGGCAAGCTACTTCTGTAAAGTGTCAGATAGTAAATACTGTTGGCTTTATGGGGCAACTGCTCAACTGTGCTACTGTAGCGTGAAAGCAGCCACAGACAATACACAAACGAATGAATCTGGCTGTGGTCCAATAAAAGTTTATTTTCAAAACAGGCAATGGGCCAAATTTGGATTGTAGACAATAGTTTTCTGAGTGCTGTTTTAAATCACTAAGTTTTGGGGCAGTTTATGTGTTAACACATACCCGAAACACTAGCTGAGTCCACTTAACAGCTGTGCAAGCTCAGACAAGTTTTTTGATCTAATCTCAATTTTCTCAAAACTGGAGAAAATATGAAATAGCACCTATACCTCATAGGTTTATTATAAGGATTAGAAAAAGGATGATATTAAACACTCAGTAGAATGACTGACACGCAGTAAACATTGTTGTTTTTGTTGCTATTAATTTACAAAACAGAAACAGGTAGGAACAGAGTTAATAAAAGGTACTAAGAGAATGCATCCAGGCCAAACCTACAACACTACTTACCCCAATGCAGCCACTATCCCCTGGGTCCCAGATCCCTGCTTATCTAAGCTCAGCTTGCCAGGACTTCGAGAAAAACCAGTAATCTGTAAAAAGTAGTCCTGCTTTTGTAAAAGACGCAATATCTGAAGATCTTATTAATCCCAATAAAATCTTTCTTATGCTCTCAGGGTTAATAGAAAGATTTTTTAAAAGTTTTTGGGTTTTTTTTTGGATGGCAGCATCATCATAGCTAACTGCAAGCTCACGCTCCTGGGCTCAAGTGATCCTCCTGCCTCAGCTTCCCAGGTAGCTGGGACTACAGGTGCAAGCCACCTTGCCCAGCTAATTTTTTTTTTTTTTTTGGTAGAGACGGGGTCTTGCCCTTGTTCAGGCTGGTCTCGAACTCCTTAAGTCAAGCAATCCTCCCATCTCTGCCTTCCAGAGTGCTAGGATTACAGGTGTGAGCCACTGTTGTCCAGCTAAAGTTTAATTAAGAACCATTCTATCCAACCTATCCATTCTTATTTAACATTTTAATTTTGGCATAATTGATTATGAGTTATTCTATACACTGAGAACGTTTTTGTGTGTAATATATAAAGATGAATAATAAAAGAGACACTCCTGGGACCACAGTACAGCTTATGAAACATTAATAAGACACTGAAGCACTCTGCATACCCCACTTGAATGCATCCCCTGCCAACCTTGTCAGTAGCCGCCATTCTGAATTTTGTGTTTATTGTATGAGTCTTCATTGTAACTGTACCAAATGTGAATGTATTCCTAAGTGACGTAGAGTTTAGTTTTGCATGTTTTTGATCTTTTTATATTTGTTAATGTACCAGCAAAGGTTTTGCTTTTGTATTCCATTCCATCACATAAATATACGATTCCTTCATCTATCAATTCTACTGTGATAGGCTGTTCCAGTATTTTGCTAGCACCACAGGTAGTCCTAGGAGCACTCACATACATGTTTCACGGACATGTGCAAGAATTTGTCTAGTAAACACACCCACAGCGACTGCTAGGTTTCGAAGTCTGCCTATTTTGAACTTTGCAAGAGAGATGCCAAAATGATTTTTAAAGTGGTTATAGCTCTTTCTACTTGCAGTTGTTAAAGATTCCCACCGACAACATCTTCCTTAAATTTGAATTGAGAGACTAAACTATTTGCCAATTTAGTAGTTGCAAAAGGGTGTCTCATTGTAGCTATAATCTGTAATTAGAAATGGACTCCCTTCAAATGTTTTACTGTTTCCTCTTCTGTAAAAATCTGCTGGTGTCATTTGCCCATTTTTCTACTAGGTTGTCTTTTTATTAATACTTCTATATTTTCTGTAAAAACCGTCCAATTTTACCGGTCACATTTAAGTCTTCAATTCACCTAGAACTGCTTTTCTGTTTATGCTGCCAGTCAGAGGAGGTCTCATTTCATTTCCCTACAGGGAAAACCCCACTGACCAGGAATCCCGTCTTTGTCATGCACTCGTCAAGTTTCCATGTATGCGTGGGTCTCTCTTTTGGTGTCATTGGCCTTAAGATTAGAATTAACTGTTCCTTAAATGTCTTTTAAAACTCACCTATAAAACTATCTGGAACTGAGCGGTTTTTTGTTAGTTTTTATAGAAAGATTTTTAACTACTGATTGAATTTGATAGTCATAGGATTATTCTACTTTTTTTCCCCCAAAAACCAGCTTTGTTAGCCTTGCATTTTTCTAGATATTTAGGTGCTACAAGTCAAGGGTGGAGGACAGATGTCTCCTTTTCATCTGTTTTTTTTGGGAGGCCCTGGATTCTTTTTTTAATTGACACATAGTAATTGTACATATTTATAGGGTACAGTTTTGATATGTACACATTGTGTAAAAATGAAATCCAGATATTTATAATGGCATATCCATTGCCTCATACATTTATCATTCTTCATGGTAAGAACATTCAAAATCCTCTTTTCTGGCTATTTTGAAATACACAATGCAATAATGTTAACCACAGCTGCCTCACTGTGCAACAGAACACCAGAAGTTATACCTTCTATGAAGCTGTTCATTATATTCTGAGTAACATTTTAAACTGTGCAGCTTCTGGTGGGAATATAAAATTATACAACTACCTTGGGAATGTAGTTTCCAAAGTCTGGTAGTTTCTTGTAAAATTAAACATATGCCTACCCTATGACTCAGCAGCTTCACTCCTTTTTATTTGACTAAGAAAAATGAAAACATATGTTCACAAAAACATGTGTATAAGAATGGTCATAGCAGCTTTGTCCATAATAGCCAAAACCTGAAAACAACTCAGTTGTCATCAATAAGAGACTGGATGAACTACAGTATGAATAAAAATCAAACAAAACAACATGGATAAATCTCAAAAAAAAATTATGCTGAGTAAAAAAATTGAAAGAAAACTTATACAAAAATACACACTATGTTTCCTTTGACAGGAAGTGGATAAAAATAAAATAAAAGGAGTACGTATTATGTGATTCCATCTATATGAAATTCCAGAATAGGCAAAACTAATCTATAGTACATGTGTTTGCATTTTCCAAAACTCAATTGACTATACACTTAAGAGTTGGGCATTTCATCATGCTGTATGTACATTTTACATTAGAAGAAAACAGTGTAAACAAACATTGAACTCTAGTTAATCATGTGCATGCTGAAGTATTTCAGAACTACTGACATCTAATTTATTTTAAAATGTATTAAAAAATTAGTGGATTAGTAGATGGATAGGTAACAAAGCAAGTATAATAAAATGTTAACTGGTAAAATCTAAGTGGTGGATATACGAATATATACTATTTTTTCAGCTTTGTTGTATGTTGAAAATTTTCATGACAAAATGTTAGAAAAAATGTTACTCCAAAGTCACATATTCTTAATTTCTAAAAGAGGCAATTTTACGTATTTATAATTTACTACTTTGACAAATTAAGAATAGAATTTTTTCCCCATGAAATTCTTGAATGAGTGACAAAGTATAAAATACCATTATGTACCTGAGTCTGCGGTTTCACTTCTTGATTTCTCCCTTGTGCCATGAGACGTCTTCCCTTTTTCCTGAGTTTTCCACAAAAAAAGCATAGGTTTTTATTATATTTAAGTTTTCTTCCTCTTAAAACATTAAGACAGTGTTATCAAACACTGTCATTCAGTACTTTAGCAATTCTTATTTACTTCTAATAGTTGTATTAATATAAATTACCTAAATTAATAGAAGGAAACATTGCAAATAATTAAATAAAACCATCACAAAATAAAAAAGCAAATAACACTTTCAGTTGATTTACAACAATCGTTGCCTTGGAGGAAGTTGAACTTTTATCACTTAAGATAACAATGTGTGTCATCAGCTGAAATTTCTGCTCCCAGCTGTGATGAAGCAACAGCTTCTATACTAGCTCTCTTGCCATAAACAACCAGAAAATAGGGGGTTGGGAACGGCAACTTTATTTGGGCGCAGGACAACAGCAACACAACACTGAGTTCCCTGAAAAAAGGGAAACTCAAGAGGGTGAGCCCCATGAATGCCACCTCCCCACACATACAATTTCTAGATGGGAGCACAGCAAGCTGAAGTCCATGTGGTGCACGGAAATCCCACTCAGCTGAGACGGCACCTGGAATAAGCTGCCTGGAGGAGAGCGTGGGCGTTTGGTTGGGAGCTACCCAAAAGTCCTTGACTGAGTACTGTCCATGTGCTGGGTGAGACATACAGTCTACCAGAAAGCGGCTATCATGGGAAAACAACCTAACAGATAAGAGAGGACAAGCAGCACTGGGGAAAATCAGAAAATGCAGACCTCACACCCGGCTATTCAGCAGAAAGACCACACTTAGCTTGCTATCTCAGGTCAATACTGATCCCAAGAGGGCAACAACTGGTTCTTAGCAGGGGTTGGGAAAAAAAAAACTTCGATATTAAAATGGTTTGTGACCCTTCACAGGGACCCAGTATATAAACAGGTATACAGTATACTTGTAGTATTAAAATTTAATTGTGTCTGTGAGGGAAGGGGGAAAAAAGTCTAAAAGGCCTTTTTAGGGATGCAATGAAAACAAGTCGAGAAACACTGCTGTGAACTAAAATAAAATCCTAAGCCCCACACTCCAACCGAATGGACCCGCTCCTGGCCAGAGGGACCCCAGAAAAACCTTAAAACTGAGCTCATGGCCACAAACGGAACCGAGATTGGATGCCTTGGACAGTAAGATACTAAATTATAAATAGGGCATAAGGCCATGCACAGCAAAGGTTAAATCACCTACAGGTCACCAATTTGCTTGACAGATCACTTGAGTTGGTTTATTGGGGCTTGTCTCTGACTTCCTTAAGACAGTCCAAGCTTTTACATAAAACTTCATTTCTTTAACCAATTACAAATCAAAGAATTTTTAAACCCATCTATAACCTATAAACTCCTGCTTCGAATGTCCTGCCTTTTTAGGCCAAACCAATGTACACCTTCCACGTACTGATTTATGATTTTATCTGCAATTCCTTTCTTTCTAAAATGTATGAAACCAAACTGTAACCCAACTACAGCAACACCACTTGCTCAAGACTTCTTGGGTGTGGGTCCCCAGGCTGTGATCGTACATATTTGGCTCGGAATAAACCTCTTTAAATTATTTTACAGAGTTTGGATTTTTTCTGTTAATACTGCCCTAGAGCATGGCCTACTCTAGACATACCCTAAACAAAGCCTAAAAGCAACCTCTGACCAGATCCACCGAGACACAGACTGGAGTTTGTGCTAAGCAGAATTCTAAGATGACTTGTATAATTACACCCCAACCCCCATCAAGGTCCAATCCAGTGAAATTGTCTATATTAAAATAATTTAAGGCCATAAGGCAGGAATAGCGATAAAAGTCTGATTTCTATAAAAGTTATACTAAAAGTTAACCAGCCATTGTTCCCTAACTTCCCTACTGCTGTAACTGCTCACTGCTCAAGGTCACATCTCCTTGACAGGTGCAAAATTTGTGACTTTCCCAATCATTTCTATAGATGACATCACTATTGTAAAACCTAAGACTGGTTTTTGAGATGTCTTCCAGACTCCGCATTCAGGGAGGCCAACTGACATCACCCAGACTAGTGGCCAGGTGTGGGAACCGATCCAACAAGTCCTGCATCCTGCAACCACCTATCCAGGAAATGTCTCAGCCAAGAAGACAATTTCTGCTTCCCAACTCTGTAAGTTCACCCCTAGGCAATCAGCAGACCCAATTCCCTAGCCCTTTGTTCACCAAACCACCTTTAAAAATCTTAGCCCCCAAAATTCTCAAGGAGATAGATTTGAGAAATTACTCCCCTCTCCTTGCCTAGTGCCTTGCAAACTGAAACTCTTTCTCCACTGCAACTCCTGCTGTCTTAGTATATTAGCCTTCACAGGGTGGTGGGCAAGGGACCCAGTTGGGCGGCAACAAATTCGGGGGTTTGTCCAGGACCACCCTTGTGGCCACTTGCCAGTGGCGGATGTAGGGGTGTGCCCTCAAGGCTGCACGGTCTCCTTTGGACCACAGGCCACCTCTCGCACCATCTCTGTTGGTGGGACAATGTTGACCACATCACTTAATAACTTGATTTAAAAACCTGGCTTACAGCAGACTAGAAAAATGCCTTTTGTGAGTATTCTAAGCGCATCCACCACCCTTCCCCCTCCCTCTTCCTGATTTGTCAGCTTCTTTTGGAGGCTATTTTTATTAAACATATATCCTAGCACTCTGGGAGGCCGAGGCGGG